CATATTACATTTTTTTTTTTTTTTTTTTTTTTTTTTAAGAACTCACGTCATATTCGTGTCTTGGCTGTCTCCGTCCCCAACCAAGCGCAGGGGGACAGCAGGAGCTCAGGTGGGCGACAGCCCAGGTCAGCTCAGCCAAAATCCACAGGTGAAGGGCAGCCGTCATCCCCCTCCCACCCACCCCCTGCCAGGTTGAGTGGGGATGGAGCCCTTGCACCGACCCCGACCCCCCCATGGCTCCCGGGGACAGCAGCACCCAGGGGACCGTGGGGGGACCAAAGCCTCCCCCTATGCTGGCATGTGCCCGGGTGGCCCCAGGCTGCCCTGGGTGCTTGGGCAGGACAGGAGTGCCACATCCCAGCCCCAGCGGGTCTAACCATGGGCACAGACTTACGCAAGGACACACGGGACCGTGTCACCGAGATGCCACAGCAACGGCAGGGACCCAGCGGTGCCCCGCAGCTTTCCATGCCACAATCACGAGAAGAAACCAAAAAAAAACCCTCCCAACTAAAACATTGCCTTCAACAAGGATTTAGACCTGTTGGCTTGGAGAAAGGCTTGGAGACACGGAGCCGGGCAGCTCCTGCCCCTCCGCTCTCCCCCAGGGCAGCGGGGCCAGGTTTGGGGATGGACTGCGAATCCCAGGAGCTGCTCCAGCTCCTCCTGCTCCAACCGGCAGTCCTGAGCCTTGGGGCCACGGGGTGCCCAGATTTTGTCCTCTCCCTTTCCCAGGTTGCCTTCTCCACAGCCCCACACTCCCGTAAGTGATGCCCAGAGCCACGGCGCGAGCCCGGGAGCCACATCCCTTGGGGACCACCACAGCTTTGGGGTCTTCAGGAGCTGCAGCGTGATTTCTGCCACCTCGAGACCCCCACCGCTTTCATGGGTGCTGCTCAGCCCGTTGCCTCCCCAGGACAACCTGTTCTGCTCTTCTGTGCTTCATCCCCCCTGCCTCCTCACAGCCCCCAAATGAATCCATCTCCAGTGTCCAGGGGAGGCATTTGAACCCAAATGCCTCATTTTTAGCTCACAATGCGAGGGAAAGGCAGCCCTGAGGAGCCCTGTTAGTCTCCTGTCCTGCCGAGATTTTAATCTCTTTGTGATCAGATAAAGGGAGAGGGAGATGGAGACGCGCTCCCTGCAGAGAAGGGCCATTCAGACCTGGTTCCTGTAATAAAGTGATTTAATAGATCTAAAGAGGCCAATTCCCTTCTTTCTCCCACAATTACTTCCTGTGGGTCATCATTCACATATGTAAATGAAGAGGGGAAGGCGCGAGTTATGGGGGGCTCTGGGGTGTTAAACCCCAATGGTGGTGTGAGTGATGGGTGCTGGGCACAGCATCCCGAGCCCGGCCCCCTGAGCCCTGGGTGTTGTGTCCCCCCCCGCGGCCGGTGCTGGCTTTTGCCCTCCCAGGCCTGACTCCCTCCCCAGGGAGCGGAACGAGCACCGGCTCTCGGGAAGCTCCTGGATGCTGGGATGGGGAGAGCATCAGCAGAAGGGCCCATTTCCCCCCGGCCACCCAATAGCAGCAAGACTGGGGTGGGAGAATGAGTTTGGACCCGGTGTGAGGAGGGGCCGGGGCTGAGCCGGTGCTGGGGTGCTCTGCAGCGGGAGAGCAGCGACTTTGTGCCACCAGCGAGCAGGGCAGGAGGCAAACCCGACCTGGAGGGGAAAGACTACATCAGCCCAAAGCCACCCCGCTTCTGGTGGTGCCAAGACCCACGCTGAGAGCACCCCATTCTTCGCTGCATCAGGGGACTCCCCACACAAACCAGCTGCCCCTCTGCTACCCAAAATAACCGGATCTTACCCAGCGTTCACCGTATTTGCCGAACGCAGCAAACCCTACACATGGGACCTCACGGCTCCCCAGGCCTCAGAAAATGGGGAACACCGGGAGGCTGCACCTCTCCCTGGGCGGTGGGATGCTCCTGGCAGAGACACCCCAGCTAAATCTCTTTTCCTGCAGGAATGTGAGCAAGAGCAATCAGGAAACCAGACTGTCTGGGGGCAATAAACCCCCAGGAGAAGAGAGGGAGGGCGGGAGGCTTCCCCCAGTGGGTCCTGCTGTGCTACATTGAGATGCAAAGACCCATTTGCTCTCTTGAGAGCACCACAATCTCGATTTTCCCGGGCTGATTTGGAGCCCTCACCTCTAAATCCAGCTGATTTTGGAATGGTAGCTCCTACCAAGGCGCTTCCACCACGCTGCAGCCAACAGGGAAAGGATTTGCTTCTCCCCTGCTCATCATTCACTTGCCAACTGGCTGTAGCCCTGCCCAGAGCAGCCACAGCCTTGTGGGCAGGGGGTGAGAGACCCCCAGGAGCCCCTGGGCCAGAAGGTCCCCAGAGCCAGCACCATCACGCTGCCCCGGGCCGATTCCTGCACAGCTGCTCCCAAGCGTACCCACAAAACCACTCGTGTTTGCTCCAGAGACCCGCGCCCCCTTCGCCTGTGCTCGCTCTGCTCCCCAGCCCCGATGGCAGCTGCTCTCCCGGGTTGAGGGGACAAGGGCCACGCTCGTCACACAGACCCTGTTCCACGCAAGCCAGCGCTGAGCCTCGCATCTCCCTCCCAACGCTGGCCCCGATTTGGGCACCATCCCCAAACCCATTTTCCCCACTCCTAAATAGGGTCCCCCAGCAAATCCTTCCCCACCATCTGGGTCGGGGGGGGGTGTTCAAGCAGCTGCAGCCCCAAATCCACGACCTCCCTCAGCACAGGATCACTGACACGCGTGAGGCTTCCTCACTCAGCAAAGTGCGTGTGGGGCAAATCCGGAGACGGGACTGTCACTGTCGTACAGGATCCATAGCGGCACGTCCGCGAACCCACACGCCTTTGTGCCAAAATGAGGGGCCCGGGCAGAGATCCCCCCACCCTGGGGATGAGCCAGAGCTGGGGAAAGCCCAATCCTGCATCCCTGCCTGGCTCAGGGCTCCCGGGACCCCAGTGCGGGGGGAAAACCAGCTCTTCCCCGAGTCCCTCCGCGGGGTGAGCAGCTTTCCCGCTCCGACATGTCCTGCTCAGCCCCGCGGGCACCTGCTCCCCTGGATCCGGCCCCGAGGGGCTCCCCAGGGATCCATGATGGGAAAATGAAATCGTTCGGGGATCAGCTTACAGGGCCGGTCCCCGGAGAGGAGCCCCAGGTTGCGGCAGGGCGAGCGGCCGTGCCTGCCCGTCGCCACCCGCCTCGCTCTGGGGAAACGAGCCCGGGGGACACCGACCAGGGCGCGGGGTTGGGACTTGGGGGGAGCCATGACCTCACGCTGAGGCGGCCTAGAGGGGGTCCCCATCGTACCTTGCATCCTCCTGGTGCCAGGAGGCTGCACCCCCTCCCTTCCCCAGGACCCCACGCGGGATCCAGCCCCGTACCTGGTGCACGAAGACATCGACGGGCGAGTCCAGGGTCGCGCCGCCCTTGGCGGTCATGGAGAGGAACCCGAAGCCCATGCGGACGTTGAACCACTTACAGATGCCGGAGCCGTGCAGCGGCTGGGGCTCGTTTTCGGCCTTGGGTGAGTCTCCGGCCGGCTCCTCGCCCGGCTTCGCACCTGAGGAGAGACCCACCGAGCCGCTGAGCCTGGGGTTGGGGGACCCGCGGGTTCCCCCCTCCCCGCCTCAGCCACCCCACACTCAGCCGGCAGCAGGAGCCCCCCAAATCTTGCTCACGTTGCCCAGGTTGGAAAAGGTGAAAACTCCCCTTCAAAAAACAACAAAAAAAACCCACAACAACAAAAAAAGCCAAAATAGTGGTCAGCTCTGCCTCCACGTGTGTGTGGGGATCACCCCAGGAGAGGGGGGGAGTGAGGGCAGCTCCTGCCGGCACGACCCAGGCGGTGAGCGGGGTGGGCGCCCTAAATCCGTTCTCCCCTCTTAAACGTTAAAAAACGAAAAAAAAAACCAAACAAAAAAACACCACCCAAACCCAAAAAACCCAGCTGAAAAAACCCAAACATAAAAAGCAAAAAAAATTTTAAAAAGAAAAAAAAAAACACAAAAAA